TATATATATATATATATATATATATATATATATATATAATTTAGTATTTTAAATAATGTTGATATTGTTATTATAAATAATGTTGAGACAACTGTAGGCCCATCTGTGATCTTCAATATCCCAATTTTATGACTGTGACTCTTTTATGTTTAGGCTTCATTGATTGACTTTCATAGGTTAAATTGTGATTATTTTTATTTAATTTTAATTTCTCCAACATTTGTCTGCATTGTTCCACTCTGCTGTAGAATAAGCTTCATTATAGACTTGTTGAAGTCTAATTATCAATAGCTTCAATATTTAATGTTTTAATAGCATGTAATGAGTGCAAATAACAACTGTGGGCCCTTTTGTCAGGTTTGCAACTAAAGTGGTTAATAAACAAACTTTCTTCTGTGCCTCTCAGTTTGACTATGAGTCTGTGAAGTATGCAGTTAAATGTTATATAACACAAAGCAAGCAGCATTTCATTGACCATCATGTTTGCAGTGAACGGAGTGTCATATTACATTGCTTCCCAGCTTGGCCTCGGGGATTGATGCATTATCTGCAATCATATTTGACGATTAAGAATATTTGTCCAAATAATGGAGGCCATTATGACTTTAACAAGCTCTGCAATGTGTTTCATGAATGCAAGAGGATAGCGCTACATTGATCTGCCAGTAGTTATAGCGATTGGATTAGGCTGTGTGGAAATCAATACAACTTCTGGCCGGTTTTAGAGACAAGCCTTTTTAGAGAAGCACAGACAGTAACAAAATAAGATCCCACTGCCATCATCACCCAGAGCAGATGCCTTGGTGAAATAATCGGTAATACAATCAAGGTTTCTACCATGTGAGATGAGAAATCCTACTAGGTCTGTGTAATCCAGTTTGGTGGGGATTTGGAGCCCATGCACCTCTCATTATCTGACGGCACACATTAATGTCTGGATTAGCTCCCCTCTGCCACAACAGTAACTATTTGGCAAAGTCCATATTAACATGAGGAAAAAATACGACATCTAGTATCCCTCACTGTAACACGGTGACAGTCATCCTTGTAACATTTAGGCTTCCATTTTATTTGCTTGTTTGTTTAGTCTTTCTTTAATTTTGTACAATGTAATTTCATTTTAGTGTATTTTTGCTCTAACAGTTGTCTGCATTGTTCCACTATTTAATTTTAATTTATTTTTATTTAATTACATTTTATTTTATTGTAGCTACAATTTTTGTTTGAATCGTTCTACTGTACTGAAAAAAATTGCTTTAATATTTATAGCTTTATTTTATTCATTCATTTATTTTTTTTTTAAGATAACTCTTTACACTATTAGTTAATGCCATTATAAACAATACTTTTACAGCAATCCTGTTTAAGTTGTATAAACCATTAGTTGTATAATAAAT